TTTAGTTTTCGGCAGACACAACATCTTTGTTGGTATGTGGTGCTGAGGATCGAACCCGAGCCGCACGCATGCCAGGCGAGCGCGCTACTGCTTGAGCCACATCCCCAGCCCCCCTTTTTAATTTTTGATTTGGAGACAGGTTCTTACTAAGCTTGAGGCTGCCTTTGAATTGGGAATCCTCCTGCCTCAGCCTCCAGTCTGCAGGGATTACAGGCTTGTGCCACCATGCCTAGCTGGAGTTCTTAATTTCTAGTCTTTTCTGGGGGAGGGGGGGTTTCCTGCAGGGGGCTAGAGGCTGGACACATACATGGCTCCATTCTGTACTTATCATCATTTCCTCCAGAGAGCAGCACAAACAGTGGAGGAGGCCATGTCCTCGGAACACAAGTCTGGAGCTAGACTGCATCCTCAGCCTTAGCCATTGCACCATCTTGAGAGCCAAAGCTCTAAAAAGAAACAGGAAGACAGCAGTTGGGTAGACACCTTTTGTCTTCAGCCTGTTCCTGAGAATCAACGTCTCCCCTGTGCTTATAGGGATGTGGTTTCCTCAACCCCTTCCCATTCTTCTAGGCCTATAGCCCAGTCTTCTTTCTCCTCAGCAGAGCAGCCCTAGATGTGGAGGCTGTTTTCTTATGGGATTCTCTGTCCAGAGAAAGGAGTAGCTGATTGAGCTTGGCAAGCGACCACAAATGTGAAAGTAGATTTGTCACAATAAAAGAATACTTAACTAACCTGTTTAGCACAGATTTATTGAAGGCTGCTACTGGCCAGGTATTGTACTGGATATTACAGTTAGGTGATGCTGGGGCTCAGTTGTCTACCTGTCTTGAGAGGGGCTGGCAGGTGAGCATTTCTGCCCACCTCATGGGTGGGAAATGCAAGGCTAACGGAGTTCATACGTCCTATATCTACATTCTGATGCACCCTCTTCTCCTCAGTTGCTCCCCTAAGTCACCAAGGCACTGAGCACTGGAGGTATCTCAGTCACATTTCTGGCTTCAAGACTGCAACACAGCAGCTGGTCTTTTCCATGTAGCTGGGCCTCTGCAGTCCCTGTATTCTGCCACCATGATGGTCCAGAGCTGGCCAGGGTAACAGTGGTTGGGTAATAATGACCTGAGATTTTAGCAGAAGAGCTGTTGAGGCAGAGAGCTGCTGAGGGTGACTGTGAAGTGTCCCGTGCGAAATCCCAACAGCTGAACACCACTTGAAGATTACAAAATCCTTTTACTGCTGTTCTCTTACTGTGATCCACGAGGTAGCTACTATCCCCATAAGAGATGAGGAAACTGAGGCTCAGAGAGGGCAAGTTCTTGGTCCATCTGCTCATTGCCTGCACCTTGGCCCAGGGGTTTCCTGGAGATAGCAGAGCTGGAAGCTGGGGTTGGTCCACTCAAAAAGTAGATGGTGGCCTCTGAGTCTTGTTCACTGAGCTTGTGATACAAAGTGCAATTCCTGTTATGGTGAACACCATGCCAGCGACTGCTCCTAGGATAGTGGCAGAAATCAAGGGGCTCTGAGCCTAGCATGCTAGCAAGAAGGAGCAGGTACAGGGCTGGGGAAAGGGTTCATATGGGGCCCAGTACCAACTGCCCCCCCAGCCTCTTGTCTCCACACTGCTTAGGGTTAGGAAATAACTGATGGCCACAAGGAAGCAGCAGAGTTGCGAAGAAAAGGCATGATGGGAGAAAGCCCTCCTCTCTAACCCATGGGAGACGGACTGGGAAAGAACTGACCCAGGTACATCAAGGCCCAAGCAGCTGCTTCCTACATTCCCAATAGCGTGACTTACCTTTTCCACCAATATCTTCTCCAAGGACCTTCCCAACAATCAGCGTGAAGACAATGGCCAGAGAGTTACAGATAGGCACAGCTAGAGTCAGATCTGGGTAGTCAAAATGAGAAGAAGTGCTGAGATGCAAAATGTCTTATCACATTAGGGGAAAAAAAAGGGGGGGATGGGGGAGCAAGGAGCTTAATGCAATGGAAGACCAAGGGTGTTGAGGGAGGCAGACCTTGGTTCTCAGTATAATCTTGGTTATATATTTAAACCCTCTGAGCCTATTTTCCCACATGTAAAACAGTGATAGCAAGATACCACTGTAGGTATTTTTTTTGCAGGGATATTGTAAGATAAACTATGATAATAGTCACTACTGTTTTGATTATTAGAATAGGTGGATATTAAAGGATGGATACAGAGTAGGTGACAAGATAATAAAATTCTAAAATTATAATTTGCTCAAAACTTGGTGAACTGCATGCCAGGTGGCATAAGGTTCAACATTGTTTTGCAGCAATGAATACATCGGGCCAGAGGCTTAAATAGTCTTATGAGCAGCTATTTCTAAATGTAAAATAGATCAAAGAGGAATGACAAGTTGAAACCATGTGGCAGGAAAGTGGCTATCTTGTCCCTCATCTTCCCATGGCCCTTGAGGGGTTCCCTAGAACTAATTGGGGCCTAAACTTTCCTGGAGTCCCTGGAGGGTCTTGACTCCAGGGGAGGAAAACCACAGAAGTAAAATTCAAAAGCATAAATTTTAATATGTAGCTTCAAATCCTTTTGCACTGTCATGCTGTGAGACTAAGAGGGGTGAAGTAAATTGTCCAAAGTTTTGTAATATTCTATATGATGACAATCATGTTTGCTTCACAGGGTGATGATGGGACTTAAATGAAATATGCAACATCAGTAAAGTATCTGATGCAGTAGAGGGCAGTCAACAAATGTTGGGAGAAAGGAAATTTGTATTTATTGTGCCAGGCACTCTGCTATGTTTCTCATATATCGAATTTATAATCTTCACAATGCTAGGAATCCAGCTGTAAAACACCAAGGTTCAAATAAGGGACTTGTTCTAGGTCAGACAGGTAGCACTCACTAGAAGCAAGAGGGACATAGTCAGCATTTGGCACAACAAAATGAACTTTCCATCTTCCTCTGCTATTGCACAAGACTGCCAGGCTCCAGATCCACCTCGTGCCTGGCCATATCTCAACCAGTCCACTGTGCCTCTGCCCTCAGAGGAGGCTACCAAGAAGGGAACAATAATATGCTCTCCCTCACTGAAGGGGAACAAGGTGTTTCAGGTTCCCTCCCCAAAACAACTTTCCCAGGTGGCCTCCACCACTAAGCAGAGCAGCCGTACACTAGACACCCACCTGTTGATGCCAGGGTGAAGTAGTAGAGAAGGGAGCCACACTGGTTGAGGAGAAAGGGCACCAGGTACTGGAAATAGGAGAAAACTGACGTCAGTGTAATTGCCTGAGTAGCACTGCCTTCTTTGAGCTTCTAGAAATATCCAAGGAACACTAAGCACTCTGAGAAGGACCCAGGGCAAAGACAGAAATAAACTGAACTCCACATCTTTGCTCTTAAATGCCCTTTCCTTTAGCTTGACTACTTCCCATCCGTTTTGTTTTTTTTTTTTAGTACTAGGGATTGAACTCAGGGGCACTGGGTCACTGAGCCACATCCCCAGCCCTATTTTCTATTATATTTAGAGACAGGGTCTCACTGAGCCTCACTTTTGCTGAGGCTGGCTTTGAACTTGTGATCCTCCTGCCTCAGCCTCCTGAGCTGCTGGGATTACAGGCGTGAGCCACCATACCAGCTCCATTCTGTAAGGTCTTTAGTGCCAATATTACCCCCTTCAGAAAGCCTACCATAAGTCTCCCATCTGCAGTCTCCCTCCTCTGAACTTATGCAACACTTTTATCTGTATCCCTCTCCTGGCCCTTAACCCTGAGAAGTTGTGGTGTCCATGTGTTCTTTCCCAGTAGCCTTGACTGGCAGACTTGGGGTCAGAAGTAGTTCCCCGTATCCCTTTTTGTCTTCCACCCCAAGGGCCAATTTGAGCCCTAAGCTCTCCCTCTGGAAAGACTTGCAAGTTCTTCATATAATTGGAGAGAACACAATAATAAAATACTAACAGCATCCATGGATGGAACACTTTTGATGTACTAGGTCCAATGCTAAGTGTGTCTTACTTCAATCCTCATAACTGCCCTATGATTATCATAATTTCCATTTTACAGATGACAAAACTGAGGCTCACAGAGGACAAGTGACTCCTCCAAGAGCTGCTTGGGAGTGATGGGATTGGGATTCTCACCCAGACCTATTTGACTCCAGAGACCAAATATTTAGCGGCCACTCTTCCGTGAGAGGGGCTGTTCAGAGACGCACCTCAAAATTCAAGAAAAGGGTCTTCATCTCCTGCAGCAACTGCCGGACCCAGGTCCGCTCATGAACCTGCTGAAGGCCGGCGGAGGCTCGCTTCAGCAGCGGCTGCGTGCCACCCCACAGAGCGGCCACGAGCACCAGAGCCAGCACCTGCCCTAAATACAGATGGACGGAGAGTCACCCTGACCGCCAGCCCCACAGGCCGCCCGCTGGGCCTCGCCCTCCTCTAGGCTCCTAGCCCCAGATAGCCTTCCGCACCGCTCTTTGGCTCTCCGACGCCCCGGGCTGCGCTCGACGGGGAGCACAGGCCTTGGGAGGCGGGGGAGATGGACTCAGGAGCCCGAGGACTGGAGTCGTAGCAGGGGCCGGGGTTCGGGGTGGAGGGGAGTAGGAAATGAACTGCTGGTGGGGATCAGAAAGTGCGTTGACGGGCGGAGCCCACTACCCACCCAGAGACGCCGCCATGGCAACGCCGCTCTCATCTACTTCCGGGAGCGAGGGGGGTGGAGACGAGAGAGCGGAAGTAGTTCCAAGCCTCTTCCGGTCCTGCTCACGCCTCGTTCTCGTCGCTTCACCGCCGAGATGGTGAGTTCCGCGGAGTTGGGGGTGTTGTGGTGGGGGTCCCGGGCCCGAAAGAGGTCCAGTTCTGGGCGCTGACACTCTTGTCCTGTCCCTACAGAAGCCGATCCTGCTGCAGGGCCATGAGCGGTCCATTACGCAGATTAAGTATAACCGCGAGGGAGACCTCCTCTTCACTGTGGCCAAGGACCCTGTGAGAGCCGGCGTCCGGGCGGGCGGGACAGGCGGAGGGGTCCCCCCAAGGGCGAGTTCCTTCTGCCCGGACCCTGGGTGGACGATCCAGTTTTACTGCCAGACGGGAACCTAAGAACATCCCATTCTAAAAAGTAGGGAGATGCCATCCCGGGGTAGGTTGATGAGGGCATTCTATCTAGGAAGGTAGGAAGGAATTCGACTCTTGGTAGAGATGAATAATTGGAGAGAAGAAAAACAAGAGACCACTGTGGATGGGGAACAGGGACAAGGATCAACTTGATAGAACAAGTCACGTCCAGTAGGACAAAGAATCATGGAATGTATCTCAGTGGTAGAATTAGTGCTTAGCATAACAAGGCCCTGGGTTCAATCCCCAGTATCACGAAAATAAACGAAGAAGAAGAAGAAATTTTAAAAAGACACGGGTCTTAATGAAGATGCGCCTAGTCTCGGTCCAATCAGTCGCATCTGCTACTCAGTGTACAATCTCACAGTACTACCTTTTGAGGCATCTACATATAGAGGCAGTTAACAGTGAGGGCTTTGAAGTCAAACTGATTTAATTTGAATACTAATCCCTGCATCTACTAGCAGTGTTACTTTATGCATGTCAGTTAATCATTCTAAACAAGTTTTCCTTCTTATAAAGTATGGGGATCTTTAGGGCTGGGATCCAGCTCAACGCAGCAAAGTCTCCCATATGGGAAGCCCAGGGTTCACACACCCCTCCCGTTCCAAAAAAGAAAAGAAAAAAATACATATATGGGG